TATAATACACTTGTTCAATCACACATTTGTAACAATAACAACAAGCTGCAACCTTTTGTGGGAAAGTGATGAATTTGCGTCTCTTTGTCATCGTTGGAACACAAAAGCAGTTTGTAAATCTCAGCTCGTGCGATCGGCTCACGCAGCTTTTTCCATGAACATCTGACGCCCCGTTATCGCTCGTTGCACACAGGCCCATTGTGGCAGGTCGTAACCTTTTCCCTGATTAGCATACAGCTGTGAGGGCCGGTCGGGGGGGGGGGGGCTGGGGGCTCCGGCTCGATCAATATTCAAACACGTCCGACACAATATTATCTGAGAGAGGAAACACGGCGATGTGGCCGCTGAGTGGGGTGGGGGGTGGGGGGTCGGGGCAGAGGGAAGTTTAACGAGGCCGAGGGCTGGAGGCCGTGCAGCTGCAAAGCCCCCCCCCCACTGAGGCCGACCCCCCACCACCGCCTAAAGGAACACAAAACCTGCAGATTCATTCTCCTCATTCTTTCTCCTCATTTCACCCCCGACAGGAGGAACATACACCCCCCCCCCCCCTCCCTCCCCCCTCCTCTCTCCGGCCCTCCACAAGTCACTCTATGGACGGCTCTGTCTTTCCCATAGGGGGGGGGGGGCTGTATGTTCCATGCTAGCCCACCTTCAATAGATAGAGTGATAGGCTTTGTCGCTGTGAGGACCCCCACTGGTTTCCCAGTAAACACCAGGAGGTAGATGCAGCAACCCCCCCCCTACCGGGAGGGACTCATCTCCAGGAGCCACAGGGGGCCCGCAGGACGGGAGGGAGAGAGAGAGAAGGGGGAGAATAGCTCCAGCACTGCCCGATCTAATCAGTGTGCATGACTGCACCACAGTATGTGTGTGTGTGTGTGTGTGTGGTGTGTGTGTGTGTGTGGGGGGGGGGGGGTGTCATTCACAGGTCTGGGGGCCACGTGGGAGGAGTCATCAGGTAAACGCTGCGGTTTCACACGGACGTGACGTGTTAATTGTAAAGTCCTCGACTCTCTAGATCTTTGATTCTCTGCTGAACCGTTTTTCTTCACTAAATCTCTCACGTGAGCAGCGATTGATATCGAGATCGGTGCCGACCGGAACAGCTGGATCGGGTTTGTTTGGACATTAACGTCACAAGCACCTCAAGCAAGGCCTTCTTCCTCCTGCTCCTCCTCCTCCTCCTCCTTCTCCTGCTCCTCCTCCTCTGTGTAGTCAGACTGTGACACAGACTTTTCCAGCGCCGGTGAGACCGTTTGTGACGGCGCTTTATGAGAAAAAAGAAACCGACTCGGACAAACGGCTGCTTTCAATCCCCTCGACTCCTTGGAACGGAAAACCCAATAACGTAATGTGACCCAGTTGAGTCAGTCTTCCTCGCATTACATCACTTTTACGGCCAAATAAACAATATTCAGGGCAACGAGACGCGTATCCGAACCTCTGTGATGTGCTGGTTTCATTATAGCAGCTTCCTGGATGCTCCTGTATATCGTTTTATTACCCCCCCCCCCTCCCCCCCCACCCCACACACACACACACACAAAAAGTGCTGATTGTCAAAAACATCTGGGAAAGTGAATATCCCAACTGAAAGTGGGTAGTAGTCTGGGGGAGTACGACTGAAATAAGCCAGCCTTGTTATCAGGATTCATCCACGCTGGAGGACTTCCTGTGAACTGTAATCCAAATGTTAGTCCCAGCCGGCCGGAGTCGTCCACTTTGACCTCCGACCCGGCGAGCAGCCGTTTGGATTAGTGGATTTCGCACCCTGGCTTGGGTTTCCAGCGCACACCGATAGTGCCCGGGTTTGATTTCCATCAGCGGGTACGACTGTTTGTTCAGGCTCCAAACCCTCCGCCGAGAATAGCCGCCACCCAGTGACCCCTCGCCCTCAAACTGCAGCCAGCGCCGCGGATTAAGGACGAAAAGCACCGCCATCAAAGCCCGAGAAAAGCTCGCAGGGCAGATGATGCGGTTTCTAGTAACCGGTGGTTAAACCACTTTTCCTTTTTCGGTTTACGTGCATTAAAAATATCTGCACCGGGCAGAAGTGAGTCTGGTAATATTTTGTCTCAATGCTTTGAAGGTTTACATTACGTTTAGGAAAGTAGAGTAAAAAAATAGATAAAAGAACTTCTCCGAAGGTCGTAACGACCGATGTCCAGGCTTGTTTTAATGGGCCCAACACGAGGCCCTGAGGGACGCCGCCAGGCCGGCATCTTTAACGCCAGCCGCTCGTTGGGACAAAAAAAATGAAATGACAAAGAAATGGCTCAAGCAACCGCGGCTACTTACTTTACGGCTGGTTAAGAAAGTCAAATAATACTTTTAAACAGCAGTGAATTTGGGATAAGTATAAACTATGGAGGCCGATCTAGCAGAGAGGGCGAATTCCTACGTATTAGAGACGGTTAACGTGGCTCTGATCTTTCCTACCACAGTGAATCAGCGACTGGGGTCTGGAACAGAAACGCCGCACGCCTCATGAACGCCGTTGCAGTAAAGAGCCTCACACGTGGAAAGAAATAATAAAAAAATCACTGCTTGTTGGCGAAACGCAAAGTAGGGCTTTCTGAATAGAAAATGCAGAACATGTGTTGTTCACTTCGTGTCACTGCGTCTTTCCTCTTTCCCGCATGAACGGCGGTTTACAGGTGCGCCCGTCCTCCGGTTCACAAACACTATAAAACAAACGGGCCAGAATCTGCCGGGCGGCCCGGTGGGCCTCCGCTGTGTTGGGAGGGGGGGGGGCAGGTGACAGGGGGCGTGGTGCTTTCAATGGGGCTTGTAGATCAGAGGAAATCAAGGGATTTATTTTAGGTAATTTTACTCGTTTTCTAAGACAACTGACAAAACAGTGCCCGGTTCCTGCTTCTCCTCGTCTTATTGGATCGGAAACCGAACGTGTTGCTGTTTTTCAGACACAATGAGAATCTTCAACTTCAGAAACATTATAGTTTTAATGTTTCATATAAGGTGTCTTTTAACAGCTGTAAAGTAAAACAATCCCAGACATTATTTTGTTTTGTTTCAATGCTCGAACGCGTAAATGTGATGTCATTACGGTAAATTGATTATTTCATTTCACACTTAAACCCCATTTCCGCTCATTATTCACAACTTGCATAATGAACAACGTTAATGTGATGCGTGTTGTAATAACACCGGGGGGGTTGGGGTGGTTTGGGGGGGGTCCCACTGCGGGGCTTCTCTGCCCGGGAAAGCATCACTCCGCTCGGCTTCGCCCGCCACGAGTTTCCCCTTCAAAAGAAGCTCCGCGAGCGAAAAGACGAACAAATGAATAAAACAATAAAAACGCGGAGGCGCGCGCGCGCGAGAGAGAGACAGAGAGAGAGAAAGTCGCGCACGCACGCGCGTGACTTTCTCCCTCTCTCTCTCTCTGGCGTCGCGCACGCGCTTCGCTTTACAAAGAGACGTTTGCTGCTTACGTGAAACCGCCACGCGGAGCCTCTGCGTCGCTTCTCCTCCGGCGTTGTGTGTCTCCGTTGTGTGTCTTTGTTGTGTGTCTCCGTTGTGTGTCTCCGTTGTGTGTCTCCGTTGTGTGTCTCCGTTGTGTAGTTTGATCCGGACTTTCTTCGTCTTTTCCCTCTTCAGTTTCTCTCTTCATCCTCCACGTTTTTCTCCGGGAGCCGCAGAGATGATGGTCTCTCTCTCTCTCTCTCTTCCCCCGGCGGACCAGCGATGGGATGGGGAGTGACTGCCCCCCCCCGTCCCCCCTCCCTCCTCCCTCCCCTCACGAGGCCACGTTGTTTATTTAATGTCCCTTTATGTGAGGGACCCCGCTGTGCCTTTTTGTATCATTTTCAGATAAGAGAAGAAAAGCTGAATAAAAATGGAAATGAGAAGTGATGTTAAAGTGAAAGGTCACCAACTGAACATCTAACACGACAAAGACTCTACAGAGACAAATAAGACTTTATTCTTTAATGCTTTAAAGGTTTAACCAACAAAACTGTAGGTTGCGGGAAAAAGGTCAGTTTTTAAAATGATGATTTTTATGATGTAGGATTAAGATTCTATACATTAAATGATGAATAAATAATCTTAAATGTATTAAAGAGGAAATTGAAGATGGCAGTTGTTGTCTCCAATTACCCCCCCCCCCCCCCCCCAGAATACGAGCTTCCACTTATAACGTGGACATTTGCTTTGTCTCCGTGTTACATTCTCTCCAAATCTCCGTCTTAACCTTTGCTGGGGGGCTAACAGCTGAGCTAAAGACACACCGGTCCATGCAGATTGTTCACATTCTGAAAGTCCCGGGGGAGACAGGGGGGGACGGGGGGACGGGGCAGGACCTTGGCCCGTCAAACGAGATTTGAATGCGGGGAAAACGCACACAACGGGCGGACTGGTTTCTGGTGAAACAAGCAGTTGTGTCAATAATAACAGACCTGATGCTATCAGAGTGACCTTCAGTGACCTTCAGTGACCCCAGTGACCCGCAGAGCGAACGCACAAAAGAAACGCTGCCGCTGTACACAACATATTGTGTGGTGACAACGTCGGCTTCACAATCCGACATCTGAATGGGTTTCAAACACAGACTCCAAAATCCTGCATGAAAGGACTTTTCCTGTTTAACAGATTAAAATGTTATACTGTGTGAATTGTGTCTTTTTGTTATGTTTCTGTATTTTATCCTATTATTTTCTAAATGTATTTCCTATTATATTCATCAGCCTCCCAGAATCTCACTGTACTGGGACCATAAAACAGTTATTTACTTCATATGGAGGATCGATTTATTTTCTACTTACGGCACCAATAAGAGAACAGAGAACAAAGAGGTTAAATGTCTTTAAAATGATAAACTGCTACAATAACATCTGTTGTGTCCTCTACTTATCCCCAATTTAATAACATTAGCTGTTGTTCAATGCTAACTAGCATTGCTTGCATGCTAATTGTGTTAGCATTTAGCACAAAGCGCTGCTTCATCTTTTTTGTGAACTCAGTGAAAGTACCAGAAGCCGTTATTGTAAAGACATAAAGTTCCCTTTTTGTGACTTAAATATTTAATAGAGGAAAAACAGAGAAAATAAGCATTGTCACACACACACAGACACACACACACAGTGTTTCATTGGTATTGCCTGAAATGTTTAACTGTAATTTACTGGATTACAGAGCGTGGAGAAGGTTCTTCTCCTTCAGATACCCTAAAGACCTTTAATCACCCTCCTGACGGAGGACGAGTGCCGCTTCCACCCGTCCGTCATTACCCTTAAAAGCGATCAGATGCTTCGGCAACAAGTGCAACAAGCTGCACCTTCTGCTGCAAACACAAACCAACCAACGGCCCCGATGACGCCCCTTTTACCCGCGGTGGTCCTCCTGTTCCTCCTGTTCCTCCTGGTCCTCGTTAGGTGTGATGTTGGCATGTCGGAGGCTCAAGGTTCTACACATTCCTGCGCTGGTCAGTGGGGTTTTAATCTGTTTTCACAGGCAGCACACGGACACAATCTGGTTTGGAATTCCAGTCCCTCCTCACTTGGGTGTCTCCTTGTGGACGTGTGCCGGAGGGGGAATCAAAGATGGCAGCCGTGTGTGTGTCTGTGTGTGTGTGTGTGTGTGTGCGTCCCACATGTGCTCACCATTAAAAAACATATTCTGTCATATCTCTCAGGGGCGTCACCCACAGCTTCGTCACAGCTGAAAAAACACAAGAAAGGTGGAAGAGTCGGGGGGGCAAAGTGTTGACTCGGCGTTTGTCACCGAGCGAGGCCGCCGATTGAGTGGGAAAGACGCGCCGAAACCTCGAGGACGAGACGTGAAATCATCGCGTGGTATTCTGGTGAAAAGTCCCGTCAGCCTTGAAACAAAAAAGCAAGATGATAAAAAGTGGTTTAAAAAAAAAAAGGTGTCGCCTCGGGCGGGACACACGCAGCACGCCGCCGCTACGAGAATAATGTATTAATTAAGCATCAAAGTTCCATCCGACCAGTTTGACACTATAATAATGAAATGATGAAATGTCAAACCACTCAATGATGCCTGATGGGATTTAGATAACTAGTCTCTCTGCTAATTATAAAGCTAAATTAGCTTAGCATAAAGAGTGGTGCAACTAGGCCGACTCTGTATAAAGGTAAAGAACCACCAGCATGTTATATATTAAATAAATAAGAGGTCTAAATGAAAAGTCGTGGCATTGATCTCCTCTTCAAACTCTGCACATTGTTGTTGGCCTCGCTCAGCTGCCAATCAATTCCCATGCCAGGTGAAGGGTCACGGCCCACGTTAGGACACGCCCCCCTCTCTCTGCAGGGAGCATTTCCTGCTGCCAGCAGGGGGGTCAAACACCAGGAGGCCAAAAGGTCAAAGAGGCTGGATGCATTAAGGAAATTAGTTTCTCTCATTTATATTCAAAATATGCAAACTTCGCCTTTTTTAAGGGTCCGATTTTGTTTATTCGGTGCGTTTGTTTCGCTCGACAGCGACACCTGAAGACGCATCAACGTGCCTCTGAACTTTGAGCCGTGTGCATCCGTGAATGACTGGCATGAGAGCGCGAACACGTGAAGCACACGAGAAATTCCTCACAGTTTCCACCTGGAAACTAGAAATACTCGGCGAGCCCATTTAGACTCGCGGAGGACGGAGACAAGCGGCGTGCAGGAAGCTTTCAGCGGCTCGTGGGGCCTTTTCGGCCCCTTTTACAAACCTCTTTATTCTCTTTTGGAGTTTTCAGCGCAAATGAGTATCGGGTTTCACTCCTTGAGCTTTGACACGTCGGCACGCAGGAAGAGAACAAATACAGCTCGGTTCATTTAAAGCAGCGTGTGTTTAGAGGCAGCGACACATTGTTTACATATGAGGAGTAAACAGCTGCTTACACACACACACACACACACACAGTGGTGAAATGTTTAAAAGCACGTTTGAGTCCTACAGGACGGACAGTCGGTAAATGAAGTGCAAATACTTGAAGCAGCAGCTTTACGAAGCAGCAACACGTGTAGCTGACAGAGCTTTCAATCAATAATATAATCAATAATAAGGAGGGAATCCGTCGGTCAACGACTGGTTGCCCGAAAAAAATAAAGAATCTGTTTGGTCACTTATGAAAGTTCATCAAAAGCCGTAACGTCTTCTGTAACTGTGGCGCGGCGCCTTTAAGCCGAGAGTAAAATAAACGTCCCCGTCCGTCTCCACGGACGAGATTCCCCCGCCGCTGTGTTTCATGTAGACTCAGGCCCAGGGTCCCCAGGCCCCCGCGGGGCCCGGGTCACAGCGGGGGTCGTCGTCGGGGAAGTCGATCGGCGAGGAGCTCTGCCGGTGCGTCTGGAGCCGGCCGAGCAGATACTCCACCACGGCGGGGAAGGCGGCGGACAGCTCGTTCCTCTCCTCGGGATCCTTCTCGATGTCGTAGAGCATCGGCGGCTTCGGCGGGTCGGACCCGGGCGCCGCCGAGTCGTTGTGGCCCGGCCGCGGGAACCAAACGTCGCAACCTGGATTGAAACGAGACGGGAGTTGGAAAGCACATTCGGACAATCGGTTTCCTCGTGAATGCACCGGCGGGCTTCGGCACCGACCCGGGTAGCCCGTCAGCAGCTTCCAGTTGGAGGATCGGATGGCCGCGTGGACGGACACGTCGAAGCCGGAGACGACCCCCTCGGCCAAAGGGAACCGTCGCCCGGTGCCGGGACCCTGCAGAGGGGAGGGGGGGGGAGACCGCTGATCAGAGAGGTCGCACTTCTTCGAAAAATGTGTGCAACACCTAGAACCCGCTGATGGGGACGATATTAACCCCCCCACCCCCCCCCCCCGGTACAGACGCCGTCTGTCTAAACCGCACCAGGTGGTAGACTGGCACCAAGCGGCGCCGCATACCTGGGAATCGAGTGAAGGTGTGAAAATAAACACACAACGCACTCTTTTCGTGCTTTTAAATCAGGAATTTAGCGCTTCGGCGCACGATCGTTCCTTTCAGAACAGAAATCATCGCTTGTAAGAATTTCCCTCAAAACACGTGGAACTTTCAGGGCTGCAGGAATTCAACCAACATGGCGCTAATGTGGTCAACTCAGCACCGGTCTCCCCTTCCTCCGCCAAGCACAATGGAGCGGTCGGCCGTTTGAGCAGCGCTGAGAAAAAACGAGGAGCATCGGTCACGAGTCACCGACTGGCTTCATCTCACCGGCTCCGTCGGGAGGAACTCAATAGCTTATCTTCACTCCCAGACGAGAGCATTTCTTTTGTCTGATCAACCGCAGCGGCATGACCGGAGAATTAAAAAGGTTTCCGATCTCAGCGTTTCTGCGGGCATCCTAACGGCCCACATGGCAACAAGCGGGCGTGCAGAGCTCGCGTCCTCTGCAGGAGGGGGGCGAGCTGCAGCCATGGACCACATGTCAGATTTAGCCCTTTGTGCAAGTTGGTGGAGCGGAGTGAATTTCTCCCACTTGTTCCACTTGCTTCTGGAAGAAAAAGGGGCCCCAACATGTCTTACGCTCATTGTTGCCTGTGCCTGAAAGCTCGTCTGGACCCACAGCAGCAGGATCCACAGAGGGGCTCAAGAAAGAGGAGGAGGTGGGAAGAGGCCCGGCGAGGAGAGGAAATTTGGGGGTTGATTTAAGTCTCGGGCCCAGTCCAGGGGTTCCGACCCCCCCGGAGGCGTTCAGGGACCCCTCTGTGACCCGTTTAGTCACACAGCGGGAATAAAGAAGGCATGAGAGGAGGAAGTGGGTGAGGAGAGGAACCTCAGCCTGGAGGAGCAGCTGCCCTTCCCCAAGCAGTTCGCTGGTGAAGCAGCAGTTCGCTGGTGAAGCAGCAGTTCGTTGGTGAAGCAGCAGTTCGCTGGTGAAGCAGCAGTTCGCTGGTGAAGCAGCAGTTCGTTGGTGAAGCAGCAGTTCGCTGGTGAAGCAGCAGTTCGCTGGTGAAGCAGCAGTTCGCTGGTGAAGCAGCAGTTCGCTGGTGAAGCAGCAGTTCGCTGGTGAAGCAGCAGTTCGCTGGTGAAGCAGCAGTTCGCTGGTGAAGCAGCAGTTCGCTGGTGAAGCAGCAGTTCGTTGGTGAAGCAGCAGTTCGCTGGTGAAGCAGCAGTTCGCTGGTGAAGCAGCAGTTCGCTGGTGAAGCAGCAGTTCGCTGGTGAAGCAGCAGTTCGCTGGTGAAGCAGCAGTTCGCTGGTGATTTAAGTTAGAGGGCGCGGACCGTAAACCTCGCAGGGCGCCGGCGCTCACTCGGCTTTTAGCCGCGTAAGCGGAGAATCAGATAAATCAGGGCGGACTATAAATAAAAGGCGTTTGTTTAACGGCGTGTTTTCCCAGGAGTTCCGAGGTTCTCTGTTTCTCCTCTTTGAGATGAGGGACGGGACGTGAAATGCGTCGCCCGCAGTAAAAACGTGTTTGATGATCCTTCCTTTTTACGGAGCGTTTTAGCACCTTTCAGCTCATTGTTTTGTTTTTACAGACCACAAAGAATGTTTCGGTCTCACAGCTGCCGTCAACCTCGTCTCAGCCCGACGGTGGTGGAGACCAAAACGGAGCTAAATCTGAGAATTGGACTTGTGTTCAACCCGATATGTAAATGTGGAAGCGTTGGACTTTACAAAGACACGATGGGTTGATGCAACTCCATTAAAGCCGCTTGAGGCTGAAACTGAACCCAGATCTGTGTAATGCTCGACGGTCATCCTGTGGATTCAGGTCTCAGAGCGAGACTGCAGCGCCACATACGGAACGGATCATCAGTAACGAGTCTTCTAACCACACCTGCACGCTAGAGGAAGGAGACGGTAAGCGTCTGTCCTCGCGAAGACCCATCACGGCACATCTGTGAAACATTTCAGCCGGAGAAACGTCAGAATGTGTAACCAAAGAGTCAGAAACCGAGGCCTCCAACCAGCACCACCTACTATTGAGTGCTTTAGACAAGAATGAGACCCCTCCAAAAGGGGTCCGACTCCTTGTAAACTCTGAATCCACTCAAACACATTTCAAACCCTCACAACAAACGCGAGGTGGCTCTCTGATGGGAGTTCAGTCCCACGTTTATTCTCCGTCGGCTTTGACTCCAGTTAATTGGATCCACGAGTTGGAGAACACGGGCTCAAACAATGAGCCGCTTGATGCCGGCGGGAAACTAGGAAGAAAGGGCCGCGCAATGGAAGACAAAGGGAGCAGCGAGAGGAAGAGGAGGAGGCTTCCTTCTCCTCAACGCGCCGTATCTAATAAATTCTTGTCACTCGCACATGAGAAATGGTTCAACAAATGTTCTCCAGAAACCAACAATTAACCAAACTGCCTTCGGGAGCCAACGCTCGTCTATATTTGTCGCCCACGTGACGGACTGGTGACCAGTGGTCTCTCCCAGTGAGGCTCAATGTACCAGTCGACGGTCGGGTCTCGCGTGTTCTGATTCACGGGGGGGGGGGGGAAACTTACATTTAGCCACGTCCACGTACAGCGGGTCGATGTTGTGCAGCAGCTCCAGTCTGGGTGAGGCGAAGCCTTCGCTGTAGGATGAGAAGGCACAACGTTTGGACACACACACACACACACACACGGACTCGTGCACACGGACTCGTGCACTGTGAAATCCTCGGGGATGTGTAAATCTAAACCAGCTGGCCGTTGCTCATGTGCTCTGACCGCAGTGCACCACAGAGAATACACAGCTCTCCCCGACCACAGCGTCTGATAACACAACCAGAATAGCTTCTCTCTGCTGCTTCTTGTATATCACAATGATTTTTTTTCTTTTCTTTTAACGGGCGAGCCAATAAAAAAATAAAAAACAACCGTGTGCCCGGCTCGCACGACACGGCACGGCGGGCAGCCGCGGTCAGCTGACGCACGTCAGCCAATGGCGTCGCGCGGAGGCTGCGAGTGGTAGTTAGCGGTCCGGGCCGAGGCCCGATTCTGCTCTGCTTGCAGCCCTCAATTTCACCTCCTCCTCCCCCCCCGGGTGCACATTTAGTTTACAAAGCCATGGTGTGACGAGCCGCGCGTGGAAAAGTGCAATCCGAGAGATAATTGAACGTATCGGCATCTCAGGTCCGTTGCCACGGAAACCACTGAGCGCTCATCCGACAGCAGGCGGCGTTTGGCGGGACGGAGGGAGGACGAGTGGAGAGAAAAACAAAGGGAGGTGAAGGTTTGCAGATTGGCGCGAGGACGACGGCCGACGGCCGGACGCCTCTTTGAGCCCCCGTCGCCGCGGCGACAAAGAGCTCACCGAGCCCCCACGCCGCTCACCTGATCGCGTTCCACACGTCGAACCCGTCCAGCGGCCTGGTGCCGCTGACGTTCCCCCCCGCCAGGCCGACGAGGGTCGGCAGCCAGTCGGAGATGTGGACGAGTTCCCGGCAGACGGTCCCGGGTCGCTTCAGCAGAGGGCCGGCGACGAACCCGACCCCCCGGACCCCTCCCTCCCACAGCGACCACTTCCTCCCGCGCAAGGGCCAGTTGCTGCCGCCCGCCAGCGTCTGACCGCCGTTATCTTCAGGAGGAGAGTCGGAAATCAGTGAATGCAAACGTGAAAACAAACATTTTGTATTTTGGGGAAGAAAGTATGTAAATAAAAGAAATTACAATAATCCCAACGTGTGGGAGGAGCTGACTACCTTTACTTTCACTGCATTGTTCCCGTCTTCTAATTACCCTTAAAAAAAAAAACCTTAAAAAGGAAGGTGTGCTTGAGTTTGTTTGGGTGGCGCCGCGCGGCCTCGTCGCCGTAACGATGACAGCGTATGAAGCCCATCAAAGCGTCAGTGGGATTCCTGTCTGTGAATCTCCACATCTGGCCTGACAGAGAACCCCAACAGGTCAAATGCAACAAACCACTGCCCCCTAGAGGACATCTGCTGTATCACAGGACATCTTCCCTCGGGGGAACCCCGAGTGGGGAATTCTGCAAACATCACGCAGGCGAAGGGTTCCACGGGTTCCTCCCTCTTGTCTAATGAAATGCACAATCAATCCCTCTGATGCTTTAACTCAAAGGAAAGTTTGGCCTAATTGGTCTTCACTTTGCACTCACTGACTCACTGGTTTTCCATTCTGAAGGAGTCAGTGAGAGACGGGCGACGAAAGGAGTTTATCCCATTTGTGTGTAAATAAAACTAGCTCCTCCATCGTTGAAGTGAACCCGTAACGAAGTAAGACGATCCGGTGCGTCGTCTTCTCCAAAAAACGTACCCGTCGAGAACACCAGGACGGTGTCGTCCCAAAGCCCCCGCCGCCGCAGAGCCAGGGTGATGTTGCCCACCGCCTCGTCCATGGCCGACGCCATGCCGGCGTACAGCCTGCGGCGGCGGTCCTCGATGAAGCTGTAGGGGGCCAGGTAGCGCTCGGGCACCTGCAGGGGCTCGTGGACGGCTTGCAGCGCCACGTAGAGGAAGAGCGGCTGCGAGATGGAGGCCACGCACATGTGAAGATTACCTCACCGGTTGTTACTGCGGTTCAACGGTTAAATACATCAGTCATAAATACTCCATTAGAAGTTATACCCCTAAAGTACAGGTGTTTTATCAGTGAGATGTGCAATTATCTTCATTAGAAGACTGACTGACCTACATTGTTTCCTTGTGTGTGTGTGTGTGTTGCGTGTGTGCACCTCGTCGGAGTTGTGTTTTTCAATGATGCCGGTGGCCCTGCGGCCGAACGCCTCGGTGGAATAAACTCCTTCGTATCCGGCGGCGACCTCCTCTCCGTCCCGCAGGTCCAGCGCGCAGCGAGTGAGGTTCCGGGCGGCGATGTTGCTACAGCGGACGTGGGTGAAGTAGTCCTCGCTGCCCAGCAGGTAGCCTGCGCCACACATTTGAACAAATGTACGTTCATCGAGGTGCGCCACCACAGCAATCAAACCGCCTGCACGGCGGCGTCGGCAGGCTCCTCGGCGGGACGTACCGAAGTACGTGTCGAAGCCGCGGCGCGTCGGCAGGCAGTCCTTCCTGTACATCCCCAGGTGCCACTTGCCCACCATGTGCGTGGCGTACCCCGCCTCCTTCATCAGCTGGGGCAGCAGCTTCTCGTCCAGGGGCACGCAGTGGGGCTGACAGGGCCAGATGATCTGGTGCTGCATGCCCGTGTGGATCTGGGGAGGACAAATAAGACGCCTCGGGTAGAAACGGGAACCAGCCGCTTCAGTGGGGCAAGAGGAAGTTTCAAAATAAAGACTTTGTCCTTTTGTCCTCTTTTCCACCAAAGTTGAAATTAGATTCTTGATGTATCTGGAGTGTTCTTCTTAATGTGAACAAACCGTCCTCGTGATGCAGTGGAGGCTCCTTAAATATGATCTACATAAAGTGAATTAAACACTGCCGTGGAATTTACCTAAATACATTTACTCAAGCTGGCAAATTAAAACAATTTCATTGGCTCACCTGGTACCTGCCTGTCATTGGCTCACCCGGTACCTGCCTGCCATTGGCTCACCCGGTACCTGCCTGCCATTGGCTCACCCGGTACCGGCCTGCCATTGGCTCACCTTGTACCGGCCTGCCATTGGCTCACCTTGTACCGGCCTGCCATTGGCTCACCTGGTACCGGCCTGCCATTGGCTCACCTGGTACCTGCCTGCCATTGGCTCACCTGGTACCTGCCTGCCATTGGCTCACCTGGTACCGGCCTGCCATTGGCTCACCTGGTACCGGCCCGCCATTGGCTCACCTGGTACCGGCCCGCCATTGGCTCACCTGGTACCGGCCCGCCATTGGCTCACCTGGTACCTGCCCGTCATTGGCTCACCTGGTACCTGCCCGCCATTGGCTCACCTGGTACCTGCCCGCCATTGGCTCACCTGGTATCTGCCCGCCATTGGCTCACCTGGTACCTGCCCGCCATTGGCTCACCTGGTACCTGCCCGCCATTGGCTCACCCGGTACCTGCCTGCCATTGGCTCACCCGGTACCTGCCTGTCATTGGCTCACCCGGTACCGGCCTGTCATTTGCTCACCCGGTACCTGCCTGTCATTGGCTCACCTGGTACCTGCCTGTCATTGGCTCACCCGGTACCGGCCTGTCATTTGCTCACCTGGTACCTGCCTGCCATTAGCTCTCCTGGTACCGGCCTGCCATTAGCTCACCTGGTACCGGCCTGCCATTGGCTCACCCGGTACCTGCCTGTCATTGGCTCACCTGGTACCGGCCTGCCATTTGCTCACCCGGTACCTGCCGGTCATTGGCTCACCTGGTACTTGCCTGCCATTGGCTCACCTGGTACCTGCCGGTCATCAGCTGGCTCCTGGAGGGCGTGCACAGCGGCTGGACGTAGTAGTTCTCCAGGCGGACTCCCGCCGCGGACAGCCGGTCCAAGTTCGGGGTGCGGATCTCCGAGCCGTGGTACCCAACGTCGTTCCAGCCGAAGTCGTCCGCCAGGATGAAGACGACGTGCGGGCGCGCGGCCGCCGAAGCTGAGCGGAAACTGACGAGCAGCAGAGCCGCGAAGAGAAGAGAAAAGTCCATCGCTTCGGTTCCGTCCGTGAAACGAAAAGACGCGCGAGGTGAGACGCGAGGAGGCTTTTAGTTCGCAACGTCGTCCCTTCCTCGTTACCTCAGAAGTAAACTGCGGTAACAGGATGTTGCTTAGAAAATGAACCTCGGCCGTGGCAGCCAATCAGATCATTGCAAAGAAACCAATCACGTGGAGGTACGGGAGCCCGCTTGGTTCAAGATAAACACGCTTCGCGTCGTGTGGAGCCGCCATGGACTAAGTGTTAATTACATTAAGTGTATATAGGTAAAAAATGGTATTTTTAAAAAATAAAACAACAAAATATACTATGAATGAAGAGTTGCACAACTCAGGAAACACAGAAGAGCGATTTGATTTAATTATCAAGGTAATTAATATACAATTCAATTACATATTAGAATAAAATAAAATTAAAATTATAAAAACAGATTTATAAAACAATCTTTGTACAAGTTGGTGAGCCGCCTGTTTCTTTTGGTTTTGTTGTTTGTATATTATGTCACCTTTATCACAAAGTAGTTACTAAAAAACACAGATCTTTTTCTTTTTTCTTCAAATACTGAATCAAGCATCATTCACAAAGCATAAACATTTAAATCCCTTCAACAAATTACCAAATTCCAGCACTTAAGACATTTTGTTGTGTAAACATTAAACATTATTTCCCTCAAAAACACATTTATGAAGCACGCCCTCAATCTGTTTCCAACTTCCCCCTCGAGAAGAAGCCAAACAGGAAGAGGTTTCTCACCACGAACCGTCCAGAACACGGACATAAGACTCGTTGATCTTCATCGGCTGGTGAGGACAGCTCATGCTTTTCCCTTTGCTTTCTTCTGCAGCCGGGTGCGCGTGGGTTCGGTGAGGACCAAGGGCTCCTGGATCACCATGGCGCGGTACTTCCTGCCCAGCAGCTCCACCTCCACCTTCTGGCCCACCGAGCACAGCTCCGGAGGCAGGTAGGCGAACGCCAGGCTCTGCTGGCTGCTGTAGCTGTAGGCGCCGGACGTCGTGTTGCCGACCACCTGGCGGGAGGAGGGAGAGGGGGCGCCGCGCCCACGTGAGAAATGACCACAAAGATTACCCCACGTGCACCCGACCGGTGGAGCTTCGGCGGCGCTGACCTTGCCGTTGTGCCAGACGGTCTCGTTGCCTTCGGGGTCGATGTCGTCCGTGTCCAGCGTGATGTAGGAGAGCTTCCTCTTCAGGCCCTTGGCCTTGATCTCCTGAAGGGCGGCTTTGCCGATGAAGTCAGCAGGCTGGGCGAAAGGAAAACGCCGTTGTTAAAAATGTACTCCTGGTTAAACAGGAAATGACATCGTACAGACGGGGATACAAAAACAGGTCGATTGTGTTAAGAAACGCAAGTGTACAAATTAGATGGATGGTCACCTTGTTCAATTTGATGAAATAATCCAATCCAGCCTCCAGAGGGTTGGTGTCGCAGTTCATCTGTAGGGATCGGCGAGGTGAAAAAGCTTAATCTTTGCTACTTAAAGGAATAGCAAGGCCTAGCTTAGCATTAAGACTTGAAACGGTTGGAAACAGCTAGCATAGCCCTTTTAAAGTTAACCAGCGTACCATCAGACATGTTCCATTGGGTTTGTTCGGTTAGAAGAAGAGTTGTGAGATACTCTTACTTTAAATCCTGTGTGTGTGTGTGTGTGTAGCTGTCTGTGTGTACCTCTGCTCCCCAGCCCCTGAAGCCCTTTTCCAGTCTGAGGGAAGACATGGCGTACGTCCCAAAATTGTCGATACCCTCGTCTTTTCCCGCTTCCATCATGGCCTGGTACACAGTCGCCATGTTCTTCTGCTCGATGTACAACTCCCAGCCGAGCTCACCTACACACACACACACACACACAAATACACAGAATTAAGAATAAGAGTCCAAAATACAAAGTCAAATGCAGCTCTGGAAAAATCCCGTTTGACAGGTTTTGCTGACGGAATTCACAAAGTGCGGCGCACCGGTGTAGGAGATCCTGATGGCCCGGACGGGGACGCCGGCCAACCGGATGGACTTGCAGTGGAGAAACTTGAACGCGGCGTCGCTCAAATCCTCGTCCGTCAGCTTCTGAAGAACTTTGCGGGAGTTTGGTCCCGCGATGCCCAACACGCCCATGTCTTCGGTCACGTTGCTGATGTCCACGTCGTGTCCTCCGTCTGCAGCCTCTGCCTCGATCCACCTGGAGCAACAGGGAGACAACTTTCAGCAGGACTACTTTGCATCACTGTTGCTTCGCTGCATGTTGAACAAATGTGTCATAAATGGTTAAATGTTGGAGTTTTAGACCTTCTATTGTCGACCTATTTTGACGCTGCAGAGTGGTTTGACCATTCTGGGCTGCCGTAGAAACTTATGTAAATATAAACTCGTCGTGCTAAGGTGACGCACTGTCCCTTTAAAACAAATAAGATGTGTTTGACCTCAAGGACATAAACATACAGAATTACTTACTCCATTATTATTATTTCACATTCTGTCACATCTCAGCCACACGTGAGGAGATGTGACCTCACACCAACTCTTCATCTTCATCCCAGAAGAGGTCGCTACTCAACATGAACCGTGTGCTTGGCGAGAGAAAAAGTTTTAATGCAGCACCTCCTGATTGGAGCAAATGGAGGGGAGTTGTGTTGACAGCTGCCGACAGGTTTTAGGTTTCTGCCGTGTAGAACACTCTGAGAGAGAGTTTCATCCAAGGAGCTATTACTGAACTATATAAATTACTGTTTTTTATTGTATAAAAAGCTTTTTTTTTAAAGGATGTGACAATAAATTCCTTTAGCGCTAGTTTGAGCGTCCCTGGTAGCAGAATTAAATGCTTCTTTTTTGTAAAAACAGCAGAAGAGTTGGAGCACCTTCAGCAAGAAAGTATCTGGGTCTCTGAAAAAATTAAGAATTAAAAAATGACAAACCTGTGTACAAATTATCCGAGATTGTAACTACGACTCCACGGGTGCATTTGGGCACGAGACATCCGATCGCACGGCTTAAAATTCCATTGCATACGCCGCTAACTGCAGGCAAGGGCTATTCACAACTGTCACCAAGAGGGCGTTTCGAATTTCCTCCGACTCTGGCGAACGGTGGCCGATGCTCACGGCTATTTACTAAATGAACATCATGCTTCATGGAAGGAGACTTGAAACTAGAGGTTAAGAACATTGACTCTAACAATAAATAAATCAAGAGAGAAGTCTCAGACTTCTTTTTGCGACGAGAAGAGTCGCCCCCGCCTGGTCAGTAGAGAGAATGCAGTGTGATAAACTTCTGCAGTAGCTTCGCTTCTCATAACGTGAGGTTGCTCATTATTTAGGCAATTAAAGGAAGCAAACCAAAAAACGGTTGGATGCGAGATGGAGGACAGTTTCACCTGAGGTCATGTCCCTCTGACCCCGAGCCTGTGATGAGCAGGAACTCTCCTGGTGCCAGCTGGGTGATGGTGACCTCGGCAAAGACTTTCCCGCTGGGTGTCAGCATGTGGCTGACGTTGGTGAGTCCCACCTGACGACAAACACAGGTTAATAAGTCAGTTCAGGCGGGTGTTGCTGAAGCGCACGCGTTGGCACCACCTTTGGCATGTTGTTGGCGAACAGGCGGTCCAGCAGCTTGAGCGAGTCCTTCCCCTTCACGATGAACTTGGCGAAAGGCGTCAGGTCGATCACGCCCACCTTCTCCATCACCAGCTTGCACTCCCTGCCAACCGGTCCGAACCAGTTGGTGCGTCGGAAACTCGGCCTGAGCACAAAAACGTCTCTTTGTATCGGTGCTGTTGAAACTTTGTTGCAACACATTGACAAAAGTCAACCGACGTAATAGTTAAATGCAACACACGCATGTTTAGAAGGTATAATGTTCACCGTCTTAATTAAACGTATTTATCTAGCGGAGGCCTTACTTGTATCCGGTGTCGTCTCCCGGTTTGTAGAACCAGTGCGGTTGTTCCCAGCCGGCGTGAAAGCCCATGGAAGCTTTGTCCTTCAGCAGCTCGTAGACGCCGCTCTGTCGGTGGGTCGGTCGGCCGGCGAATCGCTCCTCCTTTGGGTAGCCGACTGGCGAGACGGACAGAGTGAGGGCTCATCGAACGGGGAAAAAGGGGACAGTTTCGTACGACGGGCGTGCGAACCGTCTCGTTCTTACCCACGTTGTTGAAGCCGTACGATTCTCGGGCTTTGGCGCACAGGAAAGCCACGTCCGACCATTTGCCGTAGCGGTTGGTGTCGCATTCGATCAGGTCGTACGGAGGCTCCCCATTCCGGATCCAGTCGCTCAGGAACTTACCGATCCCGCCAGCGTGGATGACACCATACCTGAAAAAAACGTTCCAGAGCTTTGAGCGTTGGGAGTCAGTCTTCATCTACTTACCGATCCCCATCCCCAACACTCACCCAAAGCCAATGGCAGTCCAGTAGTTGCGTGCTCCTTGGTGCGGTCCGACCATGGGCAGCAGGTCAGGGGTGTACGTGATGGGTCCAGACACAATGTTGATGATGTCGGCCTCCTTCAGCACGGGGACCATCTCCATGGCCATCTCGACATGCTCCATTATCCGGTCCAGGTCCGACTCAAACAGCTCCTTACCGAAACCTGCGGCGGCCACAAAGAGGCACAGGGAGTTAGCTGAAATAAATACAAAAACGAAAGAGGAATGCGTGAATGGCGGACGGACCCGGGGGCACTCCGTCTCTGACCCAGGAGTCCTGCAGCACCATCTTCTCCATCTTTTCATACGGGCCGAACAACAGGCCGTCTCGTTCCTGCCGCAGGTAGTAGGAGCCCTCCAGGTCCCGGATGACGGGCAGCTCCTTCTCCAGAGCCTTCACCTGCGGTACCGTTGCCGTCACTACGTACTGGTGGTGCACCGGGATGGTGGGGTGGTCGAATCCGATCATCTTGCCAACCTCCCGGGCCCAGAAACCTTAAAAAAAAGAAACAGGAACAGGAATTACGTACAGTTTTTCCCTATTCAGGCGGCAGCCGCTCGCTTGCATTCCTCTATTACGTTACAGCCAGGAGACGGTTAGCTTAGCATGAAGACAAGAAGCAAGGGGAAAGAGCCGGCCTTGCTCTGTCCACAGGTAACAATAATTTACTGACCAGCAGTTCTAAATCTCATTCTTTTTTTAC